CAAGTGTTTGAACAACATCGGCAAGCGTTTGTACACCATCAGCAAGTGTTTGAACAACATCAGCAAGTGTTTGTACAACATCAGCAAGTGTTTGAACAACATCGGCAAGCGTTTGTACACCATCAGCAAGTGTTTGAACAACATCAGCAAGTGTTTGTACAACATCAGCAAGTGTTTGAACAACATCGGCAAGCGTTTGTACACCATCAGCAAGTGTTTGAACAACATCAGCAAGTGTTTGTACAACATCAGCAAGTGTTTGAACAACATCGGCAAGCGTTTGTACACCATCAGCAAGTGTTTGAACAACATCGGCAAGCGTTTGTACACCATCAGCAAGTGTTTGAACAACATCGGCTAGCGTTTGTACAACATAAGCAAGTGATTGTACAACATCGGCAAGCGTTTGTACAACATAAGCAAGTGTTTGAACAACATCGGCAAGCGCTTGTACAACATAAGCAAGTGTTTGTACAACATCGGCAAGCGTTTGTACAACATCAGCAAGTGTTTGTACAACATCGCAAGCGTTTGTACAACATCAACAAGTGTTTGTACAACATCAGCAAGCGTTTGTACAACATCAGCAAGTGTTTGTACAACATCGGCAAGCGTTTGCAAAACATCAGCAAGTGTTTGTACAACATCGGCAAGCGTTTGTACAACATCACAGGTAGAGGAAAGACAGCGATCGTCCCAAATCTCCCCGCCCAGCTAGATCAATAAAATAAATATTCCTCTCAAAGATAGTTTATTATGGCAATACGATAAAGAGTATAAAGCTCTCAACATTCAATTAATTGAAAAAAAAACAAAAAAAACAACCAAAAAACTTGAACATGTTGAACGTTTATTACGTCAGATACCTCAAGCGGGGTTGGAGGGGGGGGAGCTCTTCATAAAGTACGGTCACCAGATGTGGCCCGTGGGCCGTTGTTTGAGGACCCCTGCTCTAGTGTTCCTCGACTTTTCCTTCCACCGACCTATTCCCGAATTTTAATAAGGATATATGAGCGACTATGAATTAAAGAGACGTAACCTCACTTTTTATTCAACAAGAGGTTTAGTGCAGTTATTTCCCTTGACATAGAATTCTTCCCATTCGCCGCAGTAACATACTGTGGGATAGTGCGAAGAAACTTTTGATTCTGAACTTTCTGAACCACGGCAGTTGTTTGTTTGACATCACTTGCTGACCATTCAACACTGAACCACAGCATTTGTTTGTTTGACATCACTTGCTGACCATTCAACACTGAACCACAGCAGGTGTTTGTTTGACATCACTTGCTGAACATTCAACACTGAACCACAGCAGTTGCTTGTTTGACATCACTTGCTGACCATTCAACACTGAACCACGGCAGTTGTTTGTTTGGCATCACTTGCTGACCATTCAACACTGAACCACAGCAGTTGTTTGTTTGACATCACTTGCTGACCATTCAACACTGAACCACAGCATTTGTTTGTTTGACATCACTTGCTGACCATTCAACACTGAACCACAGCAGTTGTTTGTTTGACATCACTTGCTGACCATTCAACACTGAACCACATCATTTGTTTGTTTGACATCACTTGCTGACCATTCAACACTGAACCACATCATTTGTTTGTTTGACATCACTTGCTGACCATTCAACACTGAACCACAGCATTTGTTTGTTTGACATCACTTGCTGACCATTCAACACTGAACCACGGCATTTGTTTGTTTGACATCACTTGCTGACCATTCAACACTGAACCACGGCATTTGTTTGTTTGACATCACTTGCTGACCATTCAACACTGAACCACAGCATTTGTTTGTTTGACATCACTTGCTGACCATTCAACACTGACCCACGGCATTTGTTTGTTTGACATCACTTGCAGACCATTCAACACTGAACCACGGCATTTGTTTGTTTGACATCACTTGCTGACCATTCAACACTGAACCACGGCATTTGTTTGTTTGACATCACTTGC